TCTCACAAATTCTTATTATGATAACAACTTAATGAACACTACGCCATATAAACCAGCAGAGGTCTTTTTCGATTTTTAACAGCTGCCCTACCTTGTTTGGTGCGTCGAAAGTGCGTTGAGGGTACGTCAAGTATAGCCCGGGTTTGCATAAGGAGAGCATCTTCCTGCGTATCGAATACGAAGTAAATATTATATAATTAGAAATTTACTTTGTATTCTATACGCAGGAAGATGCTCTCCTTATGCAAACCCGGGCTATAATTGACGTACCCTCAACGCACTTTCGACGCACCAAACAAGGTAGGGCAGCTGTTAAAAATCGAAAAAGGCCTCTGCTATATAAACCTTAGTTCGTCTTTTCCATTATCATAAATAAACCTGACAATGTCGCACAGCTACCCTTACTAGAGTAATCATCTTCTGATTGGCGCATTTCCCTATTTAAAGGCTATGATGCATAACAATGAAACTTTTTCCTAAAACATTATTCTAATTAATTAACAAAACTTATGGCCTCAAAAATATTTACGGGCGACATGCCCGAATTAATGGAATCTATTCTCAATAATTTAAATTATGAAATTGATTCCTTATACTCGTGCGCACTCGTGAATCGACATTGGTGCAAAATGGCAATTCCTGTTCTTTGGCAAAATCCATTTTCAATTATTAAAAGCAAAAGAGGCGTATTTTCATCTAGATCAAGTCCATTATTCATTTCTCAATACTTTTCATCTCTTGATGAGGACAAAAAACTTGTTTTAAAAGAATGTAAAATAAAAGCAGAATTTTCTAAACCATTATTTGAATATGCAAGATTCCTAAAGGTTCTTGATCTAAATAACTTAGCATCAGAGGTTAAAAAATGGTATAAACTCGAACTAGGTTACGACTCACAGAATTCGAATCTAGAATATGAAGCGTTTTACTCACTGTATTATGAACCGGATTACGACACACAGAATTCGGAACTAGATTACGACACACAGAATTTGGAACTAGATTACGACACACAGAATTTGGAACTAGATTACGACTCTCAGAGTTCAGAACCACATCACGACATACCGATAAATCGGCTAATTAATTTATTACTTAAATTATTTATTGAAAGTGGTGCCGTTGTGCATAAATTAGATTTAGGTTTTTTTCACCTTTTTAGAATTAAATCAGAGATCTTTTGCTCATTAAGAGAAAATAAACAATTTTTCTCACAACTTCAAGATTTATATTTGAGAACACTACCAGAACGAAAACTCATTAAATTTGTTACTCCTTTATTAAAAATCTTGGCAAAAAATGCTAAGAAAATTAGAGCTTTGGAAATTGACGGACTTTGGAATGAGTATGACCCACAATTATTTAACATTCTTATACAAGTTATTAAATCACAAAAGCAACTTAAGAAATTTAAATTATCTGGTTTCAAAAAATTTCCAGAAAAATTCCATGGTACAATTTCAGCTTTAGAGTGTCAAAAAAACTCATTACAAGAAGTTATTATAGAAGGTTGTAATTGTAGCGATGAGCTCGAGGTATTGAAAAATTGTAAAAATTTAGAAATTCTTCGCATCAGATGGTGCAATAATGTAAAATTGTTGAAAAAATTCAATTACAAAGTCAGCACTTTAGAGGTATATATTTGCTCGATTGATGATGTATCGGCTATAGTACAAATTTTAGAAGAGTCCGGCATATTACTACAACGCTTGTTACTAAGATTAGAAATTAAATCGGCAGATGATGAAAAAATTTGGGAAGAATCTTTACTAAGAGCACTTAAATCTTTCTGTCCAAACATTATATATCTTAATCTTTCGAATATTGGAATTTCCACGCAACTCATGGAACTTCTTGGTAATTTACAAAAACTTCAATTTCTCACATTACGACGCATTGTTGACGTACCGGGAAAAGAACGAATTAAGCAGTTTGCAGAAATATTGCCATTAACATTGCAATATCTTGAATTAAATAATAAAACTTGGCCAGTATCATATATGGATACTTTGTTCAATCATTGCAATGCACCTTTAAAAAGTCTGTTAATTAATCGCCTTAATAGAGAGGAAAATACTAAAGCGTTAATTGAATTCTGCATACGAAACAGAACTTTTTTGAATTGCGCGATTATATGGAATTTGAGTAGGGATTTTAAAATTGGTGAAACAGTTGAAGTATACGTTAGATTTGTACCATATGGACGCATTGTTGTTAGTTGCTAATTATAGTAAAGGCTTAATTAATAAATATATATATATATATTAAGTTCAATATTAATTTTATATTGTTTTAATTTATAGGAGGCTTGTAGTGTGAATTATATTTATGAGGTTAAATAAAACGAGCTTTGATGTGACAGAAATAGATATAAATCTACTATCACACTTTCGTCATGTTACTTTGATAAGAGTTCTTCTCGTGATGTATAATTTGAGAAATTTAATCACGTTCTCTTGAGAAATTATGAAATGTTTTTGTGAAAAATTCCTAGTAAAAAGGAGTGATGTCGATTTAATAATAAATGAGTTAAATACGAATTTCATTTCGTTTTTTTAACAAATTTTATCAATATGAATGCTGTTTCTGTTGTAATTGAAGGTTCGACTTATGTAAAAAGATTAATACTTGAAGTAGATGTTGTTGAGGTGTTAAGTTTAACACCTGAAATTCACATAAAGGGTGGGTCTTTTTCTCATTGAGTGTTTTTTGAGTTATCGTGTATCCGAAGGTACGCTGTAAAACATCTGGGGAAGAATTGAAAGTTCTTCGTGGCCACAGTTTTTTTTTTTTTTACTGCGAACGTTCTCTCCAATTACTCGACGATCCGAATAGGATACGCGCTAACCAATAAAAGCACTCACCGTTGAATACCCGATCCGGCGTGTTTCTCTTTAGCTGTTAATAATGATGATACAATACTCATTTGTTTTTTTTTCTTGCAGGGAACCAAACAATGGCGGAACAGATTTAATTAGCTATATTAGAGGGATTAAACTCACTTTTCAGTGTAAAAATTGGATCAATCCAATAAGTTTGTATAATATTATTTAGTTAATTTTAAAAGATTATATTAATGTTATAATATTATTAAAACTTTTATTAAAGATTATATTAATGTTATGATATTACAGGACTAGCCATCGTTCGTGAGCTTAATGGTGTGGTGGGCGAAGAACCAGATTCGATCAGAATTCTGGTGGCTCCCTTTATGAATTTTACAGATGAGACAGTAAAATTAGCAGGACATCTAGATTACCTATTATCTTTAACGACGTAACTTATCTTTAGAAAATTATCCTTCATCTCTATCAATTCCTACAACAAAGACCATCTTTTTACTACGACCTTTCAACCCATTAATTTAATCATTAATTTTGTTCGATTATATGTTTTCACAATTGAGTCTACGTACAGTGTGGAGTAAGTTTATTTGCTAATAAAGCGCGTCACAATATGCTGTCATACCCAATAATTTCCATGATACGTATACCGATGTTAGACATCGCTTTTAAATTATTGTTAAGTTTGATTAAGTAACATACGTCAAATATAAATCGAATCTAATTCAAGTCAATGAAGTATTTTTGAAATTAAAAAAGTTAAAAAAAAAAAAAAAAAAAAGAGTCTAATAAAAGTCTAATGGTTTTTATTGTTTTTTTTTATGGTTTCGAACACTTAGTTTTGCCATTTTTTCAAATATGAAATACATATAATGGGGCATTCATTAAATATTCTTTTTCAATTAACCTGAAAACCAAAACTTTAAATATTGGTTCTTAATACCTTTAAATTAATTAAAGTTGAAATTATCAAAAGATTGAATGTCCAATCGGATAAACACAACAAATTTATCTTTTAATGCTGATATCCTACAAAACTTAACCCAACCAATAAAACCTCTTCAAAATATCGCAAGTGAAGCATTAATCAAGAAATTTATTAAGGTACGTACGTACGTATGTACAAGAAGTAATGATTGTCGCTAAGAAAAACTGTGAAGTATTATTATCTACTTTTATAGTTAGATCGAATACGAAGTTAAGAGTTTCAAAAATTTGGAGCTTCGATATTTATTTTATTTAAAAAAACCTTATTGATTTTGAGAACTTAATATTTTGTGAAATGTTGAAAAATGGAGACAAAAATTTTTATTGTAGTTATTTAGAATCTATTGATTGACTTTTTGTCAGTTAGAACCATAATTTTGAGCCTAGACTAAATTGTATATATTTGAGGATTGTTAATTATTTGGCCTTGGTCCGTTACTTTCCAATCTTGCACCTGAACAAAAAAAAAAAACTCAACGTGTTGAATGTTATTTGATCAACACGTTGAATTTTTAATTTCGACCGTGTGTCTTTCTGAAAATTTATTTATATTGTAGTTAATTTAATATTGATTAAAATTATTAGCGTACTCAACTTTGCAAGTTGCATAGACTATATTGTAAATGAGATTACCCACGAAACTCGCTTTGGACCCATAACAATAATATGATTTGAGAGTGCTGCAAAGCAAAAATCTGTAGTTTCGATTTTTGCCGGCTCCGCTTTTTGATCCGATTTCTTAATTTAAATTAAGCACAACATAAATTGTATGATGTATTAACTCACAATTACAGGTTTCGCTTTGCAGCACTCATTTATACAAACTTTTATATTATTATTTTATAGTAATTTTATTATACTTCGCTAAACAGAATACTATAATAAGTTAAAATCTCATCACAAAATCCACTTGTCCCTGCTTACCACAGTAAGTTATCATTAACAACCCTGCTTATGGTACGTCATTTGAAATTTTAATAATATGTATTTTATATTTTATTTGCAAAAAGAAAACGATATAATTTGAAAAATTTTACCCGTGATCTGCGTGACAAATCATGTGACTAATATATAGTATAAATTTTTATGCTTCAGACCTCTACCGGTTTCCGGTTTCTAGTTTATCACAATATCATTCGCGCTCTTTTTTAATGTACACAATTACGTCAAATGGAAAGTCCAGAACAAGGAGAAGGAAGCCGACAAGTAGCTTTGAGATCAAAAGTTCAGGACAGTAAAAAGGTTAAAAATGTGAGTTTTTTTTCACCTTTTTTAAATCTTAACGGGTTTAAATACTAATATAACTGACGATTAATTTCATATTAGATGTCAATTATACATTCAAAATTTGATTTTTTGGATAGGCCCTGGTGGAAGCCCTCTTATGATGAACGCGATGCTAATTATTTTATCTTAAATGCCAAGCGCTACCAACATGCCATATTATTAGCCATTGACGAAAGCGACACGCTCTTTTGGAAGGGATATATTGACCTTCATCATGAACATTATCTGCTCGAATGTATTTCTGTAGAAAGTAATGTTGACCTTACTATCGACTTTATACGACAGGCTCTAAAAAAACCCGGGATTCTTAAATTATTTTTGAGCTGGCTATGCAGAAAAATTTTTGCATCTTGTTTCATACTCGAAAGATCTTTTCGTATGAATAGGAAAGTGAAAAACATCCACGATGCCATTAATGATATTTTCCCATCAATCTTCTTTTCTGATCTTCCAATTGATCGGTTTACACCTTCGTTTGCACAGCAGCTGCATCGACAAATTGGAAATGAATTGATTAGTAACGCGGGTCAATATAGAACGTGGTACGTTATGGCTGCGCAAGACAACTATGTATATATGGCACCGGATTTGATCGAAGATAAAATGAATGAGTTATTCTGTCAATGTAGAGAGAAATTTGGAAGGACAGACTTGCAGTTGGAGGAGGCTATTAAATATGGGGCGTGTTTTTTTGCCTATTTCTTGATGATTCACCCTTTTATAAATGGAAATGGAAGAGTAGCGAGATTGCTTTTAAGTTACCTCTTATCAAAATTCACTGTGTTACCTCTTTCTTTATATACAGGATCTAAAACACGAGATATGTATTTACAATGTCTTCGTGAAGCACAGTATCATGATCCATTTAATCCCAGTGCACTTGCAACCTTTATACTTGAATGTGTATACAAAACATCTTATAACATATGTGTAGTGATGGATATAGATATTCAAAATTAATATAGTTGTTAATCCTGTTATAAAGGGAAGTGATAATAAAAAAGAATATGACAATAGTTTAAATTAGTATAAATTTGAAAACTAAGTTGTCCAGACAAATTATATGTCGTGAAATTTGGGGTCTTGATTTGAAAATATAAGCCCTACCAAAATCCACCTATACCCTTTTATTAATAATTCTAACCCTAAACCCTAACTTAGCTAGAAAAAAAAAGCTTACAAAAAAAGGCCCCAAAAATTTTAAAAATTGTACATAAAATAAAGGGGAATTTACAAATAAGGGCCTGAAAAGTGAAAATAACTACATATAAGGGCCTGATTTTTGAAAAATATTACATATAGGGGTCCAAATATATCAATAGTTGAAAAACGTGATCACGAGATTACCGTACCGCAAAGGCACTCATTTATTATATTATATATAGATAAATAAGCACTATATAGTTATAATTACTTTCGTTTAAATACTATATAAAAGATAATGTTCAAATTAGCATAATTTTGCGTTAGGCTTTGAACATTTCCGAAAAAGCTGGACAATTTTGATCATGATTAATTAGCCTTATGATATGAATAAAACCATCTTTACGTTTGTTAGCAGAAACAGTAAATGGGCATTCGCTCTTTGTTCGTGGGACAAACAACAAATTGTTTGTTGGGTTTATTAGTCCTGAACTTGTAAAGCGAAAATGTTTCAACAGAATAACTCTCTAGAGCTGAGCGAACACTTTTCATATCGGTAAATGTCATTCCAAGTTTTAGTGTCATGGTTTGTTATAACGATAAGCAATTTTATAAATAAATGAAATTTATTGTATTTACGAAGTCAAAAACACTTCTTATTTATGATTACTAATTTACAATCTATTATTACATTTATCAATGACTACATTTCTTATGCGCCTGATAATGTAAACTTATTAATGACTATCAAGCCACAGACTTGAATAAATTCCGTGCGTTGCGCAGGCCCCTATATGTAATATTTTTCAAAAATCAGGCCCTTATATGTGATTATTTTTAATTTGAGCCCTTATCCGTAATTATTTTCGCTTTTCAGGCCCTTATTTGTAAATTCCCCTAAAATAAATCTAAATTTCCGATTTCACGATAATCCATGACATTTATTATTTAAATTGCATGATTAAACACAGCGTTTCTCTCTTATTGAGACCAACATATTTCAAATATCAAAGATCACTGTTATTTTGATTAAGATCTTTATACGCAACAAAGGCTGTTCTCAAGCATTGATCAGATAATAAGCGTGATGACGCTCAAGCATCACAATTGATGCCGATATTTATAGAATTAAATGCTTGAGCATACTTTTTCTGTTTATTCATACTGTTCGCTATACTACCTAAAAAAACTCAATCAACCGCTAAAGTTTCAACTTTAGTTACGTCGGCTCCTCCTTTTAATGATTTTAACAATTTGGTTTTCTTTACTATCATCTATTGGATCAGCTCAAAGAAAGCGTCTTTATAGAATGCTTGGATTGAGTAAGAGAAAAAGTGCAATAGGTCACCGTTGTGATTTATTATTATGCGACAAACATGAACACGTCCATTTAGTTGGTGAAGTGAGTCGTCAAATATGGAAAAGCATTATTTCTGAATCAGTAAGCATTGTTTCTGAATCAGTTTTAGCAAAATGTGATGAATTTGTGGGTAGTTTCAATAATTCTGTCACTTCACAGGCTACAAGAAATATTTTTCACGACAAACCATGGAAAGAAAGTGATAGAAAATTGTTAGAAATTACTGAACGCACTCTTAATACACTGTAAGTAGTATTCCCAATTCTTAAGTAATTAGTAATTAGTATTTATAAGTATCCTAACACGCCTTTATTAGTGGTGAAATTTGGTGCAATCCTGCATGTGTATCGTGTAACGAACAAAGCGAGGGAACTTATATTTCGGATATTATAATGTCCTTGCTTCGATCTAGTTTGGGGAACTTATTCAATGGCAGTATCTGCTTAAGTACCGCAGAATGCCGAAGCGTAGCAAGCAAGGATCGAAGAAATGCAGGTGTGGACAAAGAACGAATGGGAAAGAAATTCCAGAAACCGACGATGAACTTGCTGCTGAAGAAAGAAGGCAAGGGATTCGACAATCCCTTGCCGATGACCGCACAAACCATGTCGTGAAGGTCGTAAAAAAGGAATGGCGGTCGAAAAAAGTAATTATTCGATATCATGTGGTTGTTGAAACATGATGGAAAGATTGGGTTTACTAATGAAGGCATTAGAACAAGCCGATAGTCTCTCACCCCGAAATGTCCCCAAGCCCCGCTGTTTGATCACCAACTAGAGAAGAACAGGCGAGAACCAGATATAAACCCACCTTTGTGTGAAGAAAGATTAAATAGGAAAAAAAGCGGGAAGCTTCGGAACAAATCTTAAATTTTTATAAGCTTCCGGGTGGCTCAAATTCACATAAATAATCAGTTTACTTTTGCGTGCATATTTCGTGAATCTATTTTATTTGATATTATTAACTCGCAATATGGTCGAGAATTTTCTTGGCAAAATTTGACGACCCGAGGTCGCTGAAATCATGTGATTTAATAAAGTTATGGATGGAATCGAAATAACGATATAAATAATAACCAATACTCATTTACACGGTCGCGTTAAAATGGAGAGGTCACCGGACCCCCTTCTTTATTTTTATGAAAATTGTTGCCCAAACGAACAACAATATAAAATACAAATAAAAAATATATTTTTATTTTTTTGGAAAGTTCCCAGCACCAGCATTTCTTGAAAGCCTAATCCACCAGCTTCATTGAATACCAATTCTAATTGTAGAGGTCCTAACCGGATGAATCCGTCATCCATTTATCTGATAAGCTATATTAATATTAATATCCAGATATCCGTCTTGATTAACCGAATCATCTGATTAGAATCACATGATTTTTTGATACCATTCGATTCGTCTCAATGAGACGAATCGATGATTCGTGAAATAATTGCCTGGAATAATCTAAAATTTGGGGTTGAACGTATTAGAGCTGGGCTGCAAGCTATCAGCTATAAACATGGACTATTTACCATTATGTATTACAGCATATATAGCAAATATTACTAAAATAGCGGCTATGTAGATATAAAAAATTTTCAAATTTACATTTTGATAAATATAAATTAACTAATAAATTGATTAAAAACGTAACTATTGATGAAACTTTATATCACTTTAGCTAAACATTAAATGACTTCCGCTACGGTTCAGACAATTAAACTCGGCATTTTACTTAACACCCGATTTTTTTTTCTTTAAATAAAATGGACTCTGAACAACTTTTCGATCTTGGTTACTATTATCAATATGTTAACAAAGACGAAAGAAGGCTTTTGAGTATTATATGAGAGCAGCTGAGTTAGGAGATTCGGTGGCGATGAATGCTGTTGGCCTTTGTTATAATATCATCGAATTTGTGTAGAAATAAATTACCACAATTCATTGATTTGGGCAATGCTCTGCAATGTGGTTTTTGATATTACTAATGATATGAGGTTGGACAAGATTATAATAAAGCATTTTAATACGGAGAAATGGTTAATGTTGCTCTGTGTTATTGAAGCGGTACCGGTACAAATAAGAGAGATATTCAGAAAGCAAAGTTATTGGTTCAAAAAATATAAAAGTACTTTGAAAATAAATAAATCACCGGATCATATCAATCCTTAATTTAAGGCAATATTAGATGATGAAAGATTTGGATTAATTATAATGAATTCGCAATTATCCGGGAACCTGGAAAAGTAACTGTAAATTCTGTACGTTGCTATATTATTAATGATAGATGGAAAGATGTTGCACTTAAAGTTATTCGTGATTCAAACAAAAGTGTGCAAGAATTTATGCAAGAATTTATCCAAGAATTGAAGAATTTATTTTAAAAAATACTTCATTCTTGAATTGTTTGGGTGTGTCAAGAAATAATTATGGTGATTATATTATTGGTACGGATATTATGCTAAAAGGTTCGTTACGACAAAGTCTTGCAATTAGTATATAACTTTGGATCTTGAGTCAATTCATCTCACAAACTCGTTCACAAAGATTTAACAGCGGAAACTATAGCAAGAAAATTTGCATAATGTATATATCATTGATCTTGGACTTTTAAAAGTAAGAAGGAAAAATTTGTAGAGTTTTACCGTATACTGTATAGCACCTGAGTTTTTGATGTGTCAACTGTATACTCAAGCATCAGTTATTTACAGTCTTGAGTTATCACAACTAGAGGTGCAAGCGAATCGTCCCAATGATGTTACGGCTTAAGCTGTAACTAGCTAAAGCTTATGTCGTAACTAGTTACGGCAATCATTGGGACAATTCGCCTGCATCTCTAATCACGACAGAGATTTCATCCGGACGAAGAGCATTTGATGCATTTCAATTTGACAATTATTTTGCATCAAAGATTATCGATGGATTAATACCTAAATGTTTGGGTCCAGATTTTATATTAAATTAGCTATAAAATGTATGGATAAAGATGTTGATAAACGACAGAAATTGTTGATTTCTAAGATAATTATATGTGTCTTTATATACTTTGCGAAATTTCGGTTTCCACCAAATATGGGTAATCTTTTGCCGTCGCCGAAATCAGGTCATGTGATTTTGTTAAATTTATAAATCTGAAAACCAGATAATCATTTTGTAATTTCAGAAAATGTCAGATTTACAACTTATACATAGAGCAATCAGAGACTTTTTCGATGAAACGCCCGTTGAAGAATGGTCATATATTCTTTTTTTAGAGTCATTTAAACACGTTATTCTGTCGGTATTAGATATCACAAAACGAGATGAAAAAGCTACATGGAGGAAGAGATTTATAAAGCGTTTAGAAACGATTGCAGGTGATGACGCGTATACTGAACAGCAGAAAAAGAAGGTAATTATTTTGATAGAAAAGGTATTTAGTATATATTTTTTTATGGCAGTCAGGATAGTTCTACACAGTCAAAGGACGGTTACGCTCCCTCCTGAGGTATGACGGTTCCGCTCCCTCCGTGTAGTTACTGTTGGTGTCATATAGCCAAGAGACGGTTATGCTCCCTCTTGAGGTTTGACGGTTCCGTTCCCTCATATGACACCTGACTGTCTGAGTTTTTAATAATTTGTGGTTCGCATAGACCAAATTATTAGTTCGATCTACATATTACATTTTTAGGACCCACGAAATAATTGTCCGGAGCGAAGCGTAGGACTCATACTTCTACGTTAAGTGATAACCAAAACTACGTTTTTGATATATTTATATCAAGATTATCAAAAACGTAGTTGTGGCATTTTCCGTCTGAGACACGCGTACCTATATTTGCTTTTTTGTGTTACAAAATTATGAGAATTACGCGTTTGTGCACATCAGATAAAGTTTTACCTTCGTCAATCTTAATTACGTACTGTCAAAAAAGCGAGTAAGCATTTTTTATGTCTATTTTGTTTATTGTTCGTATTAGAATTTAAATGATTTAATTTATTGGGTACTACATATACTAATTACTAACAAATTATTTGTCTATAGATCTTACGATCTACGATACTTTAGTATGTAACAGATAATGTATTTAAAAATTATATATATATATATATTTCAATGCCATGATCTCTAAAAAAATATTGACATTTAATAAACGGCTTAGAATTGCCGAAAGCTGCTCAGCCAGGTTGGATTGCTAGAAATATCTTCGATTATGATTGAGATCATTTGAGTACTGCAAAGGGAAATGGGACTTCGGGTCATAGGTAGACTTTCGTATGATTGGCTGTTTAAATCAATTTAATTTTACATTATTTATACGGTTTAAAGTACTTTTTAAAAAAAAATAAAACTACAAAGAATAAACAAAAAAGAAGTATATAGAAAGTTTTATTAGGATTGTAGGACTCCACTATTAAAAAGTATCTCCATCCCTTTTTGTTTTAGAGAAGTTAGCATAATAGCGACTTATTAAAGATAGATAGAATTAGGTTATCACCATGCTAACTTCTCTGAAACAAAAAGGGATGGAGATACTTTTTAATAGTGGAGTCCTACAACCCAAATAAAACTTCTTTATACTTCTTTTTTGTTCATTCTTCGTAGTTTTATTTTTTTTAAAAAGTACTTTAAACTGTATAAATAATGTAAAATTAAATTGATTTAAACGGGTACAACTCATAGGGGGATCTACCGTATGGCACTTTACGGTATGTATGAATTTTAGCACCTATTCTTTATATGCGTGATTATTATCTATCCTGGATCCTTTTTTTCGAATTTTTAATTGAGCTATTGTCGAAATTTGACAAAACCCAAGATTAGAAAAAAGAAATCGGATAATGTTAATTTATTGTTTATTTTTTTTGGAGCAATTTTTTTTGACCAAATACGTATATTGATAAAGTAACTATACAGCATAATCATATGCGGAAATCTATTAGACCGCATGGGTTGAATCGATACGTACGTACGTACTTTGTTGATAACTGATAATATGCTTGGATAACTTGCAAGAACCTAAAACTTTAATGAACAGCCTAAAATGGCTAGAGTAAATTGAAATGTGATACATGTAATCTAGTATAAAGTCATCTGATCTCGCAACAATGATCGCCAGGGACAGTAAATACTTCCATTATTAAATGACGAATTTTTTATCACAAAAACATCAATTATTCCATTTAATTCCATTTTATTCCGATATCACCAAAAAAAAAACTTTTTAGCCAACCAACCAAAATTTAATTTTCAAAATAATTTTCAATTTCCGAAGATTATTACACGATTAATAGCAAGATTTGATTGGC